CTCAAAGTGCATGGTGAGGAATGAGAACAAAAGAAAAGTTCACTGTGAGTTCCTCTTGTCAAAGCAGAGGAAATTGCTTTGAGGCCAGCACTAGGAGATGCTAATGGTACAAAGCGAACCAAGTAAAAGAAGGAAAAAAATGTGCCAGGTCACTGGGAGCTTGCCTAGCATAGAGAGACATAAAACCACCACTGATGAGACATTCAGCCTAGGTCCTACCACGCACTGCTGGGCGAGTCACTTCTAACCAGTGTTCAGCTGGCTACAATCCGAAGAGGATGCCTCAACAGCTACAAGAATATTCGTTCACTTGACAAACTGTAATTGCACCCTCACTGTGTTAGGACTATTGCTATTAATGCTGGAAGGTGCAATAGGAGCCCGTATGTCCCGGTCCCAGCCGGCTTTGTGAGTCAGAATCATTGGAAAGTAAGTTCTGGGCAATCACTGCTGACCCTGGAAGGCCACCACTCAGCAGAAAATACAGGATGATGTAGGAGAGCCAAAGTGGTAACTGGAAAGAAACGTGTGTCTGTTTAAACTCCTTGAAAGACCGACTGACTGCTGGTCTTCGTTCTCCAGGGCTCACAGTTCTCATCCATAAAATTGGCTGAACAGGATGATGCTTTCTTTTCCCTTTGAGCAGATTTAGAATGGTGCTAGTTGTTCTCAGGGGATCCTGCCATGGAGTTGGGACAATGTGGGATCTCTTAATCTGGGAATCTGTAATCAGCTGCCGGAGCTAGAAACCAGAGGTGCTTTTTCTGTATGTTTTGATGAGTCACTGAGAAATTTAAAAATGCTAAAGATGTCAAAGCTTTCCCTCCAGATTCTAAACCAGGGGCTGCAAACTCAGTACACCTAGGATTTGTTTGGCTAGCAGAATATTTTTTAAAAATGGAACCAGCATTTACAAATCGTGCGATTTCTGAAAATCCAGATTTGGGTCTTCGCTGAGACACCAGAAGATTTGACAGCAGTGGACCCACAGCAGCGATTGGTTAGAGGTGGGTAGCAGCTGTTCCAGTTTAGATGAAGCAAAGCACCTGCCCTCTGGTCTGACCATCTCTATCCCTCATTATGGTAACCATACAATTTGTCATCCAAACTAAGGCACTTTTGAGGGTAAAAGAGGGTGCCGTTGGTAATTATGCCTGGACGCAGAGACACAAAACAGGGCTATTATGGGCAACAAGGATGTATGGTTACCCTAACTTACGTTGCTTACACTGGGTTCGATTTTTTTCCCCCCACTGTTATTTGGGTCATGTGGTCACAAGTCAGGGACTCTCCCAAGAAAGAAGGGAGACAAAAGGTGTAAGTAAAATGAGGATGAGACCCAAACGCTGAAAAAAAGGGAAAGAAATGAAAAAGAATATTAAAATGAATGCCAATTACACAAAACCTTCAGGTAAAGGCAGAGCCTTGCTGGTGGCTGGCTCAGCATGTAAGTTTGACCTTCCCGGCTCCCTGCCCTCCATAGCACTGTCAGTTTTAATAAGCTGTAATCCCATAGCTACGAGCGAGACTAATCAAACTGCAGAGAGCAGCCTGTTTCTAATCAGGAAGGCACAGGATAATCATTTAACTCTGTGGTTTCTCAGTGAGCTCCAAGCTGCCTGGACAGAAAAAAAAAACAAAACCATCCTGGATAAGATAGTTGCTTACACACTCTAATCTTGACCTTTTGATGATCTTTGTTTGAAATTTTTATTAAAATGCTTTAATTACACAAGTATTTGGCTTAAAAAATATTTTAGAAGAATCTTTTCCCTTTATTCCCAGAGAATAACATATCGCTCCCCCAAGACATCTAGGACACCTCAGACTCCTATTGATTCCCCGAGTCCACTTGAACTGATCACAGAGCTCAACCCTTTCAACACCATTCAGGACGTGATTAGAGTCCCCAAACTGGGGGCTGAAGGAATTGGGGAACATGGAATGGCAACTCACACTGAGCACCTACAGGTGCCAGCATGGGACTGTGGACTACATAGGCTGATATCGGCCATTCCCCATTGGAGGAGTGATAGCCAGGGCTGGGCTGCAGTGAAGCTCCAGAAGCACCCCATACCTCAGGCCACACGGCCCTTCTATTCTCTCCTCCCTTCCCTTAGCCCCCTCAACCCAGGGGCAAGTCACAAGAAGCTATTTAGTGTAATGGTTAACCGCAGAGTTTTAGTCAGATGCCGCTGAAGTTGAACTTGGGAGCTGACTAGTGGTAGGCCCTTAGGCAAACTACTCAACCTTCCAGAAATGCCTGGTAGGCCCCCAGGCAGGCTACTCAACCTTCCTGAAACTTCGTTCTTAACAGATGATCAGCGCTTCACAGCCTCATTCTAAGGGTCAACAAGATATATATGGAAAGCACTTACAAAGGTAACTGGTACATTAAAAATGCTCCCTAGGTTGTGGTTATTATTATTTTTATTATGTGCTAGCATGGTCTTAAGGCCCCTAATTATATAATTTAAAGAGACAGGTACATTGTTGAATCTCCTTGGATTCTGCATTCAGCATTAAGTGCCCTTAAAACAATGACTACACATGAAATAAATGTAGAAAAAAATCTTTTTTCCAGTGGAGAAAATCTCTAGTATCATGGAAATTTAATATTTTGTTCAATAGACTCACTACTATTTACAGAAAAGAAGACAGTATATTTTTTTAATTAAAAGTGTTTATTGGCTATTGACTTTAATAGACTTACATTAAAGGAAAGAAACATTTTTTTCAAATGTGCTAATAAGAAAAAGACCCAGAAAAATGAACAATGCTGGGGAGAATATTCAGTGTTTTGAACAAAAATAAAACTCATAAATTTTATATGGATTCTGGGATATTTATTAATATTCCTCCAACAAAGGATTTGACATTGAACAGGAATACAAACATATGAATAAGTCTAATCTATTTCAAAGCAATCAGCTCTTTGAGAGCAGAAACTCTTTCATAAGTACCCTTGCCATTCATGGCAGAGAGATTATAGGAATGCTATGAACCTTCCTAAACCATTAATAAAAGAAAAACATATAGATACCCAACACATAAAAATATAGTAACCACATAATAATTAAACACAATGTTCAGTAATGCCCACTGAAATGAACAAACAGCAAAATATATTCTAATAATGTAAAACAAATATATTCCATGCTCCTATAAAAACAAAGGCATCCATGGGGGGCGCCTGGGTGGCGCAGTCGGTTAAGCGTCCGACTTCAGCCAGGTCACGATCTCGCGGTCCGTGAGTTCGAGCCCCGCGTCAGGCTCTGGGCTGATGGCTCAGAGCCTGGAGCCTGTTTCCGATTCTGTGTCTCCCTCTCTCTCTGCCCCTCCCCCTTTCATGCTCTGTCTCTCTCTGTCCCCCAAAAAATAAATAAACGTTGAAAAAAAAAAAATTAAAAAAAAAAAAAAACAAAGGCATCTTTTTGGTTCTGTTGTTTTTACAAAAACTGTATGTGTACACAAGTGTATATATATTCTTACAGAAAACATGACAAATATAGAAAAGCCTAAAGAAAATGAAAATTACCTGTCGCACCATCAACATGAATGTCACTCTTTTGGTGAGAGCAGAAAACTCATAGAATCAGAGATGCCCCAAGAAGATTTCACAGCCTCAGGATCTGATGCCAATTCACCAAGCACTTCAGAATTCACAGGCTGACCTCTTTCAAGGCTCGCAAACTTCTCTACTATTGCCCGATTCTAGCATTTTGCCCACTGCATTTTTCACCAGGCCAACAGTGATCAATAAACCAGGACACAAGAAGGCTGCCTCCAATCTAAAACTTTTTGCTCCCCAATCATTAGAGCTGGATGGAATTTTAGAAGGTCATGTGGTGCTGTCCACCATACCTGTCCCTGTTTGTTCAGGAGGAAATAGGCAAGGGGAGGTTAAGTGATTTGCTCAGGTGTCACAGCTGAGTAGAAGTGAAACCCAATCTTGTAATTGCCAGGCCAGGGCTCCATCCAAGTGGGCACATAGTGAATGATGTGCAGTGATGGGGCTACACTTGTTATGTGCTTAGACTATTAATGAGCCCAGGGTAGACCATAGTGGATCTGTATGACCAGACAAAAACATCTGGGCAAACTTTTCGGCTCATAACAGGCCACTGCATGGACATAGACAAGTCACATACGGATAACGTGGTCAAATGAAAGAGTGTATCCTGGGCCAACTGATCATAGGAGAAATGTGTGAGCCCCACATTCCATGAAGATGTGAGCCTGGTTAAGTCCCAAGAACCTTTTCTGACTGACTGCAGTACTGGGGCAGGTTGGAAGGCAGAAGTGTCCAAGAGGGCCCTGAGAATATAAGAATTAAAACTAGGAAGCTCTTAAATCAGCTAGATGCCTTTTACAGTCAACAGCCATATGTCTACAGAAGTCATGATGCTCATGACCAATCATCTCCTTTCCAGCTCTAATCTAATTCAACGAACCCATACAATCTCATCAACCCCACTTCAAGGCTGTCCCTTCTCACCTAAAGCTTTCGTCTTTGACTAAACGAATCTCCATTGACTAAAAGAGTTAGCACTGAGGGGCACCTGGATGGCTCAGTCAGTTAAGTGTCTGACTCTTGATTTTGGCTCAGGTCATGATCTCATAGTTGTGAGATCAAGCCCCGTATCAGGCTCTGCATTGAGCATGGAGCCTGCTTAAGATTCTCCCTCTCCCTCTGCCCCTGCCCCCACATGCGCAAACATGGGCTCTCTCTCTCTCTCAAAAAAAAAAAAAAAAAAAGTTAGCATTGAAATATTAAAGGTCATGGTTTAATTCTTTCTGATCAGTTGGGGTCACTTAAGTCTTTATATGAAATCTCCTTTCTCATGGAGGCAGAGTTTGATACAAACATTCCTTATTTGCGTACACCTTATTCTCAAATACAAATAATTAAAGCTAAGATTGTTTCTCCTTCTCTTCTTCCTGTGTGACAACAGTGGGGCGGTCTCAGTGTGAAAAGTCTGATTTGTGTATGCCAGGTCTCAAGACGCTTGCCTGCGGATGAGCTCTTTCAACTGTGCCAGTCTGTCACTTCTTAGGGCTTCCCGGATGGAGTGGAAAAAACCAAAATAGTGTTCAAAGTTGTGCATCATAAGCAGGACTCCAGCCAACAGCTCGTTGGTCACCAGCAGATGGTGGATGTACGCACGAGTATGATTCTTACAGCAGTAACAGGAACACCCTCTCACAAGTGGATCAAAGTCCTCCTGGTACCTGAGAAAGGAAGTTACAACAATATTCCAGTAAGTGAGGAATATAAGAAATCTGCTATCTATTCTGCTGGTACATAATCAATAGTTAATAACATCACTGGCAAATGTAGTGCCGGTCACCTGCTTAAGATGACAACGAAGTGAAAAGTTAACACAGAGCATGAGTCAGGAGACTTGGGAGTCTTCTTCTGACAGATATAACCTCCTGGACTGAGGCTTACACAGGAGCATCAGGAGAGTCACGTGATCACTCCCTCATGCTGAGCTTTGTCGGTCACACTGCAAAGGCACACAATGATAGCAAACGCTGTTCTGATGAATGACACTTTTTTCCCACTCGCCACAGAACTAGGACCCAAGACACAATATGACCTTTCACTTGCATAGATTCCTGTGGTTTACAAAGCACTTTGACAAAGACTGTCTCACTTAATCTCTGCCGGCGGGGGGTGGGGGGGTGGGGGGGGGTCAAGAGGAAGGGCCTCAGAGCTACCACACCTAGGTTTGATGCCTTGCTCGACTCACTCAGGCAAGTCATTTAACCTCCCTCTGTGTCTTTACTTTTTCATCTGTGATGGGAATAAGTGTAATAACAGTACCTACCTTAGAGACTTATTGCAAGAATTAAATGAGTTGATATAGCAAAGGATTTGGACACTGCTGGACACATACTAAGCACTACACATGTCACTTTTTATCAGCTCTTAAGTTAAACAACTTGACCAAGGTCACAGAGTCAAGAGCAGTGCTAGGATCTGAACTTTAGGTCTAGTGCTGGCAATAAGAAAACTACAATTTCCAGTTAAATCTAATGTAAGGGAATTTTAGTAGTAACCCATTTATATTACCCTAGCATTTTAAAAACAGCAATGAATCTCCTTGGCCATTTTCCAAGAAGTTAAATGTGGTAAACATCACCATTTCAGACCTATAATCAAGAAGCCCCTGTAGAATATAGATTAGACCTAGGATTTTCATATTCTTTCATAAATTTTCAAGTCTGTACTATTACTAGATAGACATAAGTCTGAATCCCTAGAGTGTTCCTTTACATAAGACCAAAAACACGCCAGCACAGAAGTGAGAGTACCAAACTCACAGAAAACTCCCTCACTGGTTCACTAATAATTACCACTTTAGGCCAAATACAAAGTTACAAGATCTCTTAGTTCATTCTTTATAGAGGGAAATCTTTTATTAAGATTTATAATCTGTATATAACCAAGATGACCTAAGTTCCTTAGAATTTAAACACTTTGTTGTTTTTTATCTTGAAATCTTTATCTTGCTCTGTCATTATTTAAAGTAATTGGAAAGAGTAGAAGACACCAGACAATGTATTTGGCCTAATGTTTCTGACAGCTCTTCTAAAACAACAGTTATCTAGCCTCGGTTTTCTGACAAGACAAAGAACACAAATTCATCTGCAGAAAAAAAGAGTTTTTCTGGAACTGAATTTGAGAAGGCCCAAATAATATCCAACTATAAATATTTTATGAAGTCATAAACTGAAAAGGGAACAGTTACATAAACTTTTAAAACAGACTGAAATTAAAAAGTCAGACATCAAAATCCAAACTTAAAAAAATTCCTTACTTTTTTTCCTTCAGATTAATTTCAAATGATGTAATTTCTTGGTTACAACTGGTTGTTTTAATTTTCTTTGTTTGATCTGCGTATTTTATTTCTTCCTGTGTCCCATTTTGTTGTGATACTAAAGGACAAATCAACAAAAAGTCTTGAATGAAAATCAGATAAAGAGTGGCCATTGGGAGATTTTTATTCTAGTTACTATTTTATGCCCTTTGACTCTGTAATTCCACTCATGAGAATTTATCCTAAGGAAATGACACAAGGAAAGTAGTAATATGGACCAAGATGATCACTGACATTCTCTAGATTATCAAAACTTGGAGATTCAACAATGTCTAAGCAAACTATGGTTACAAGTATGTAATATATAATCTTACTGTCAAGGAATGATTTTAAGAAAACAGGGTGTGTGTGTGTGTGTGTGTGTGTGTGTGTGTTTGGAGGGGGGTGGAAATCTTTTTTTTTAATGTTTATTTATTTTTGAGAGACAGAGACAGAATGCAAGTGGGAGAGGGGCAGAGAGAGAGGGAGACACAGAATCTGAAGCAGGCTCCAGGCTCCCAGCTGTCAGCACAGAGCCCAACACGGGGCTTGAACTCACCAGCTGTGAGATCATGACTTGAGCCGAAGTCGGAAACTCAACCGACTGAGCCACCCAGGAGCCCCTGGAAGCGGGTAGAAATCTATGTGTGTGTGTTGGGAGTTATGTCTCATCAAAATGTACATGCAAATTGTGCTTTGTAACTGCCTATGTTCCAAATAGATTAAAAGTAGAATATAGTTTTAATTTATGTATTCTGTATGGAGTCCCTGGAAGGAACTCAGATTATCCAGAACTAAATGGGGACTTGAGTTGTTCCCCTGAACTCTTTAGAAAAGAATGTTCCTGGGGCGCCTGGGTGGCTCGGTCGGTTAAGCGTCCGACTTCGGCTCAGGTCATGATCTCACGGTCTGTGAGTTCGAGCCCCTCGTTGGGCTCTGTGCTGACAGCTCAGAGCCTGGAGCCTGTTTCAGATTCTGTGTCTCCCTCTCTCTCTGCCCCTCCCCTGTTCATGCTCTGTCTCTCTCTGTCTCAAAAATAAATAAATGTTAAAAAAAATTAAAAAAGAAAAGAAAAGAATGTTCCTGGATTTATAAGAGAAACACCAGTTACTATGCAAAGAGCCAGCTGTCTTGAACAGGGGCAAGCAGAGAAGTATTACTGGGAAGGAGTAGTAACAAGTTCAGGGTTGGCCCAAGGAGAATAAACAGATAGCACTAAGAAGATAATTTTGTCCAGATCAAAGGAAAGAAAGAAGTGACCTCAACATTGAGGCTGTTATACTTTTGCTGCCATGAATTTGTATGCTGATACACTGCAATAACACCCTGGCTTTTTGCAAAATTCTTGTCACTAGGGGGAACTATATTAGTTCCTATACAGGCAACTTACTCCTTTGCAATTGTCACTTTGTAATTGGCAAAAGACTTTAACTTACTATACACACACATACACAAATATGATTGTTAATAATACTTTAATGGAAAATGTTCAAACTGTTTCAGTTTTCCTAATCATGAAGAAACACCTTTCTCTAGCCAAAAAGGAACTTGTGTGTTCCTGAGAATTCAGTATCGGGTTCTTTGTAGAGTTTTACATATTCATGGTACAGAATAACAATTACCCATGTCTCTATGGAAATAATTAAGCTTGTAAATGAACATTTATGGAGTTTGTGGTATGCTTTTTCATCAGCATACATTATATTCTGGTCAGTTTAAAGGACAGTAAAACTGACCTTCTATATATAAGAATTTGAGCAAACCAATTTGTTTCCAGAACAATCCAATTTCGGTTAATGGTTAGTTTGCTTTATAAAACTATAACATCTTCTGGATGAAATTTTAATAACTTCTGGGGAATAAAGTGAACCTTTAAGAAGTCTCTGGCCTGAGTTCAATGTAAGGCTGGTGGTGACGGAGGAGCTCAAAGGACAGCAGGAAGCGGGAAGGGAGAGCCCCTTGCAAAGGCCAGCGGGCAGACCGGGCATGCAACAGCCACCCGAGAAACTGGAACCCCAGCCCGACGCCCATAGCCCATATCCCAGTTCTTTTCCTACTGTCAGTTAAATGTCAGACCCTGGAACTGATTTTCTTGACTTCTAACTAAACAATAAAAGAAGATGGTGGTACTTCAAAGCAATGTTAGCAGAGGAAAACAGCTTTCACATCTCTGTGAAAAACCCAAAAAAGCAAAAGTGACACTAGGATCAGATGGGGTAAGACTCTTCTGTATTTTGATAGCATAGCCTTGGCAAAAAGCAGACAAGAACTCTTTTGTGAAAAACTGAATTAACTTTTAGTAAGCAGTTAAAAGGTTTTCTGTTCTTAGATTTTCATCACTATCCACTCTGAATGTTCTTTTTTCAAATTGTTAATAGAAAGTGTTTTGTTTTTCTTGGTTCTGCTCACTATAAAATCACTTCCAAATAATTGATGAGCTACAGGGATAGCACTAAGAACCAACCGGGTTTTGTGTGCCAACATGCCAGAGCGTATAGATAAGAAACAAAAATGTAGTTTTATAAAAGGCTGATGTTACAGTATGCACATATCTCTGGCTTGTGACTCAAGCCAAAAATGAAGAGGAAATAGAAGATACTTGAGGCTATCACAGAGACTAACTTCAGAAAACCTACACGTCTCTTCAGGGTTCGGCTGGTAATCAAAGCTGAAAGTCAGGGCACATCCCCGCTCTGTCACTTGATAAGGGAAGAAACTCTCAAATAAGTCCACTCCTCTTTCAATACACTCGAGCACCTCATCTGGTCGGCTGACTCCACAGATGAGCCTGTGAAAACAACAGTAGGAACACTGACGTGAGGACAATGCCAGACTGTGTAGCAGGCAACAGATAATAAGGTGTGGTGGAAAGAATGCAGGACTTGGGCAGCAGAGGGACCTGGGCTCGAATCCCAGTTCTGCCCTTTATTTACTTACTGTATGACTTTAGGGAGGTTTCTTAACCATTCTGGGTTTTAGTTTTCTAACTTTAAAAACAAAAGCATAATACATAGCTCACAGATGTGTTGCGAAGATTAAGGAGTTAACTGTAAAAACACACAGAGGAGTTTCGAGTCCCAAAGAGAAGTTCAGTAAAAGTTAGTTTCCTTCCCCCGCCAATTCCTTCTGAACAGCCTCCCTAGTCTTCAACTGAACTTTACAGTCTATCTATCCATTACACAGATTTTTTTAAGGGGGCAAAGCTATAGGTCAACTATACTTCACAATTTTTAAAAGATTAAAAAACAAAAAAAAAGTACAAAGCTGTGTGCTTTATTTCCCCCTCAAATACTTTCCATGTCTTAACTGTATTTTACCTATAGTTTCTTTTTTATAATTGGTTCAACAAAGACATTTTTATCTGTTGTATTCTTCATAGGTTCATTTACAAAGCAACTCTTGCTCTCAGAATTTGAACTCTGCCCACAGGATCTAAACTCTATTTGGTTTTATTCTTCTTTGTATTTTCTCCATTAATAAAAAGTCTACATGGAATGAGGTGGTATTTTCAGAGGTAATGGGTAAGGCATTCTGGGAGGGTTAATCATACTCAACCAGGTTTTGCCACTAAAACAAGAAGGGGAGACACCTGGATCAGGGTTGGCTGGCTGGCTGCTTTTCTTAGTTTGTTTTTCTACCCACAGTCCCTTTTATGAACTCACAGAGAAAAGCTAACAGACTCCCTGATTTCTAAGAGAAGTCCAAAAAAATCTTATGTAATATTAAACAACCAGAACATTTATATGTATGACTACAGTCTCCTTCAACTAATGTTTTAGAACTCCTCTCCAACTAAAGATGGCATTTCTACACACATATAGGATGAAAAACAATCCCAGCACTCAAATCCAGTAACAGACATCTGTGAGCATTTAGCTCAAAGAAGTCTAGAAAATGACTGGAAATACTAGTGCTGGACTGTTATCTGCACCAGAACAAGACAATCACAGGAGGGGGAGCAATGAACACAAGAGAACCAGGTTAAAACGATGGGGGAAGTTCTGGCTGCACTGGCAAAGGGTTGGTGGTTCTGGCTGTTCAACTCTGTGTTACAGGGCTGTATACATGTGTAAAAATTCATCACGCTGTCCATAAGATTCATACACTTTATTGCAAGTTATCCTGGGATTTTTTTAAAGTGGTAAAACTTACATATACTATATAGCATTCAACAGCCCGAGAGGTATAAAGCAGCATCCCATAATCAAACCTCTAAACAGATGTGTAGGGAAAAAAGCATAAATATTCACACCACGTTGGACAAAAAACTAGAGATTAAAAAGCAAAACAAAACAAAACAAAAAGAAAAATGGCGGTAGTATAATAAGAAAGACATCAGCTGTACTCAGAACCTTAGGATTTTTAGCTTTAAATCTTGTAGATCACCTCTCTACACCAGTACATACTGAGTCCTATTTATGGAAAGAACTAGCCCCATTAATGATGCCAGTACCCTTGATTTCAAAAAAAAATGACAGTTACTACATGCCTCAAATCTAAGAACTTCTTCCAGGTTCTTATTACTACAGCCCACCTTCGTTCTGCTAGGCACCCCCAATCTGTCCTCAACTTCCCTTGATTAAGGCCACAGTCCTATACGACTTTATTCTTGTCCCCAGGGGCCATGTTATAATGAAGAATATTTGCACTTGGCACAAAAATGAAGGGAAACAGTATAACACCTGCCCTCCCTTATGAGGATCAAATAAACTAGTTCACATGACAATTGTCCTCGTCTATATTCTGAAATCAAAGGCAGGACAGCTGTGATGGAAACTCTTCCCACAGTCAGCCTGAGCAGATTCAGCCCAGAAAAGGCATAATCAGTTCATCAAAAGACATGCCCATGTAGAGACTCGGCATAATGCACAATCACCAGCACCCCTGCATTGAAGCCCACGAAACTTGGCCTGCGTCCTAACTGAACACTAGCCTGGGTTTGTCCTCCGGCAGCTCTGCAGTGACTGATGACAGCAAGTACAGTCTAGTTTCCAGGGTTGTGGGATTCCCTTGAAAGCCATCCAGAAGGAAGCCACCTACGGGCCGCTTGGCTGTCTCTCGTGCTGACCTCAGTCTCTCCTCCATCACATCTCCACCTTCAATCACACCAATGATGGTACTTTTCCGAAGGACCTACAGGAAGAAAAGACTGGATGCTTTAACTGTTTCCAGTAGTGGAAACCTTCGTTTAAATGGACTATACATGGAAGACCAAGAGATAGAAGAGATCTCAGTGCAGTTGCTACAGCTGAAGCATGAAAGGAGGATGATACTCCCTCCTCCCTGAGAACCTTTAGGGCTCCAAAAACCACAACTTGAAAGCCACCCAAATAAGTAAGAAAAGACTGAGTAGAAACTGAGGCAATAAGCACATATAGTCATGTTTGAGCTTAGATTAAATTAACACTGAGCAAGTACAATTTAGGTTACCTCCAAGTCTCTTAGAGATGACTTTAAGAACTTTATGGTTGGGGGCACATGGGTGAGTCAGTGGGTTAAGCGTCCGACTTCGGCTCAGGTCATGATCTCACAGTTCCTGGGTTCAACCCCGTGTTGGACTCTGTGCTGACAGCTCAGAGCCTGGAGCCTGCTTCGGATTCTGTGTCTCCCTCTCTCTCTGCCCCTCCCCTACTCACACTCTGTCTGTCTCTCTCTCTCTCTAAAAAATAAACATTAAAAAAAGAAAAGAACTGTACGGTTGGGAACTAACTAACTGTCCATTTGCGAAAAACTAAAAACTACTTTGCACACCATCTTCAAAAACAAATCCCACAGGGCCCTATAATCTAAACATAAAAACAGAGTTATAGAAGTATCAGAAAGATACATTCAAGTTTTTATAATCTTAGGGTAAGAAAAGCCTACCTAAGCAAGCTAAAGCTTACCCAAAAAGGCTAACATATTTGAGTACAAAATCATCAAAACTTCTCTAGTGAAGCATACTCTCAACAAAGGAGTTGAGAGGCAAAGGAGAACTCACTGCTTGTCGGAATAGATACCATACTATACTTATACCATAGAAAAGCCTCCAACAAACCTTCTAAGGAAATGACAACCCACAGACATCAGGGCAAATATGTGAATGTGAATAGGAACTTCTGAAAAATAAATGTGAATGCCCTGTACACATATGGAGAGCTAACTAAACCTCACCAGTAGGGAAATACAAATTGGCAACAATTAGGTACCGTTTTTGCCCATCACACCGACAAAATTGTTAAAAGACAGATAGTGACACAGTGGAGGAAAAAGTGTTAGAGAAGGGACACATACTCTGATAACTAAAGAAGAGTAGAAATTAGTTCTGCTTTTTGGGAGGGCCAACTAAACAAAACTTGTCAAAATGTCGATGCTTTAATCCTATGTCCTAAAATTCCACTTATAAGAATCTCTCCTACGAGTATATTCATTCATAAGCACCAAGGTATATTCACAAAATGTTTAGAATAATGAAAAACTGGAAACAAGTATACATTAATAGAGTAAAGGCCTAAATAAATTATGATACATTCATAGTGTCTTCCTACTCAGGTGTTTTAAAAAGAATGCAGTGGATACAGCAACATAGGCATTGACAAGAAATGAAATTCTGAGATACTGCTAAACAAAACAAGCACACTTCTGAGCATATGATCATATTCGTGCAATAAGAACCCCATATAGTCATGTATATATGTAAATACTATGTATATGCAACTAAAAAGTAAGGTTTGCATGGAAAAATGCAAATTGACAGTGGCTCTCTGGTAGAAGAGAGGAATGGGGAAGGAGCCTGGATTGCTGTGAAAAGGGAATTTCACTTCTCAGTTTAAGCAAGAGGGACACAAACAGAAGGAACACTTGGGCTGCTGTGTACAGAAATGAATTAAGAGTGAATATGGCTAAAGGATGGGTAGGAGGCAACTTTAATAATCCAGATGAAAGACCAAGAGGACCCAGACTAAAGCAGTGGCAGTGGGTGAAGGGGAGGGGCAGGATCTGAAAACTCATCAGAAGGTACGATCCACAAACTTGACCAATTAGTTGCCCAAGGAGAGGGGGAAAAGTCTGGGATGACTCCTAGCTCCTGTTTTGGAAGTCCAGAGAGAGGATGAGAAGAGCAAAGATAGAAAATTCTAGGAAAACAGTGGAGGGTGAGGCAAGATGATCATTCTGTTTTGTGCATTGTGAGTTTGAGGTATCAGCCGCTAAGTATACAGACCTAAAGTTTCAGACATGTGTGATACAAATGTGACTGCCCGGCTAGAACGACAGATGCCTGGCATGCTGCTGCCACTCCCCATGGCAGACATGGCTGACAGATAACTCTCTTCCTGCTGCACCCAGGCACAGCTCCAAGCACCTTGGGATGAAACCCATTTGCCATCCCTGGCCTAGGAAATATATGAAGAAAAGAGTGCCAGCAACAGTATTTAAGTATTTAAGGGCATTCAGAATAACAGGATCCAGGGGTGCGTGGGTGGCTCAGTTGGTTAAGCATCCCACTTTAGCTCAGGTCATGATCTCACGGTTTGTGAGTTTGAGCCCCAGATTGGGCTCTGTGCCGACAGCTCAGAGCCTGAAGCCTGTTTTGGATTGTGTCTCCCTCTCTCTCTGTCCCTCCCCTGCTCATGCTCTCTCTCTCTCAAAA